GAAAATAATCTCAGTAATATGACGTCATTGTTTCAGGAGTAAATAAACATTGAATAAAAAGGCAATTTTGTCTAATCTAAATGGTTTGCGTGAAGAGTTTCTTTCATACAATGCTTCGGGTAGGGGCGAAGCCCCACCCCCGCGTAAGAACGTCTGAGCCCCCCCCCCCCCTCCCTAACTCAAAAGAAATTTCTTCATCGATACTCTATAATAAAATTACCGCCTAATTAATGTGTCTAATCTAAAAAGTGGTTTTCTTGCAATTTCTTTAATGCAATTCTTCGGGTAGGGGCTAAGCGCGACACCAGTGTTTCTTTCAGACTTTTTCCACCCCAGAGAGGGGTGGGGGTACTTGAAATTTTCGGGGGCGGGGGTAGAATTTTTGGGGAGGGGGCGGACACTGGAAAAAGTATATAATTATATTTCGTTGAATGGGACGGTAGACATGCTTTTTTGGGGGGGTGGGGGTGGGGGGGGGGGGGGGGGGTGGTGTGTGGGGGTGGGGGTGGGGGGGGGGGTGGGGGTGGTGTGTGTGGGGGGGGTGGGTTGGTTTTAGTTTAGGAAAAGAGACAGCACTATCAGCCTAGCGCCCGTTGTATCCTTCCTCAACGGGCCATTTTTCTCGTATAAGAATATTCGAGAAAGTTTAGGGGAGATCACTCCCGGTTTATTGAAAGTGCAATTGTAATAAAACATTGTGATAAGTTTAAAAAAAAAGGAACAGACTCTTTGACTCAAACAAAAAAAAAAAACCCACGTAAACTAGCAGACCTACATATCATAAGAGTATTGACGCTCGAACTAAAAAAAATGATACATCTTTCTAAGAGAGAACGCAGAACCAACCACACACAATTTGAACGAAGCTCTCACTGAGTCAGAGGTGGGGACTGTTTGGAAAATTGCCGGCGACCGTCAAAAGTGAAGGGAACTTTCTTGGATAGCCCCATGTGTCTTGGGATTATACAAAAAAGGAAAATAATGATGATTTATTATTTCGTGAAAGCAAGTACAAATAAATGTATTCATGACGCGAATTTAGCTGTCCGTGTTGGATGTTCATTACAGCACTCATTATACTTGAAGCACTCGTAAAACAATTGTTGATCATATCTAGCGTGAGTCATCAAACACGTGAAGTGATAAAGTAATTTAGAACTGGTTAATTTAAATAAGCGAGGATTGTCCAACAAGGCTTAGTGTTCACAATGAACATAAAACGTATTTTTGTGATAAACATTGTATCACTGGTTATATGTCATGGTCAATGTAAGTAAAACTAGTTTAAAAAAAAAACTTAAGTCTCTCTTTATATTTTTAAACTAAATAGATACATACGAGTTAAATATATTTATGTTATTAATCGTTCTGCTCGAGCATGGTTAGATAGTATATGTAATATGTGCTCATTCATTGTGTTCGGTAAGTGTTAAATAGCTAGAAATGTATGTAACATAATTAAACAAAAAATAACAAAGTAATATAAAGTTGGATGACCTATATTTAGCGCATGCCACCAGTCTCCTCTCACATCGACACCAGCATGGCTAGTCCGGGCTAATCAAACAATCTGGTTATTGAACGGCAGGTGGCAATACACAATTACCAATGTAATTACCAATGTAATTACCAATGTAATTACAAATGTAATTACCAATGTGATTACCAATGTTATTACCAATGTAATTACCAATGTAATTACCAATGTAATTACCATTGTAATTTTTACCAATGTAATTTTTACCAATGTAGTTATCAATGTATTTACCAATGTAATTATAAATGTAATTAACAATGTTAGATAAACCGCGGCAAAACCGTCTTATTAAAAACATACAAAATCGCTAATGAGAATGAATTGGACTCTCCTTGCGTAAACCAACTAGCTACATCACAAGACAGGCACTAGATTGGAATCCCCAAAAGAATGAGGAAAGTAGGTAGGCCAAAAGAGACCAGTTGTTAGTGAAGCTGAAGCGGTTGGAATGCCGTGGAGAAATAGTCCAGAACCGAGTATGCTGGAGAGGTGTTGTTGCGTCCCTCTACCCGTCAAAGGGCCCACATAATCGATGAAGATGTTAATATAAATGCCGATGACAACGTCAATTAATATTAGACCTTATACATCAAATGTTGTTTTTCTTTAAGCGTGAACGAAAAATAAAACCTAATAAAATAAAGTTAGGTTAATAAAACTTTTACGTTTATTAAAAAATAAATTAACCCAAACAAAATGTAAACTTATATAAGTGATAAAATTATGTTTCTTATATAATAATGAGAACTAGCCTTAATTGTAAATAAAGTTTAGCATTATATATTTATTTAATGCTCTAACTTCGAAAACGTTAACAATCCTTTGCAAATGATTGTGTATATTTTTAAAATGTAATAACCAATAGCTTTATCACATTTTATCACATATTTGAATCGGTTAATGTATTATTATTTCATCCAATGTATTCCAAAATGAGCACATGATATTTAAAATATTGTTTAACAGTTAAGGAGATGAGATTTCCAAAAGACAGTCAGCCAGGTTACACAGTATTAAACACAGCACTAGACGGGTACGTCCGATTCATTTGTCATGAAAGTGTGTTAACATCTCAACTCAGTATACAAAAAGATGATGGAAAGGTACGGACCAATAGAAAAGGTCACATAATTTCGTATGTCATAAATCGTGTGACGTGTGAGCACAGTGGAACTTATACCTGTGTCGTTAGCTCGAGCACCTTAAACTTCTCACGTAGGTTAGATGTGGCTATCGTTGGATGTAAGTAATATTTAAAACTTTTTACATATGTACTATAATAAGTATTATGTCCTATGCTTGTTATGAATAATATAAAGAAAATACACCTGAAAAATTGTGAAAATTTCGTGTAAATTTAATAATATAAAAAAAACACAATGAACATTGTCCTCCTATCCAGGCCCACCACGACTGTGTCAAGATGAAGAATCCAACAAGACACTGGATGTTTTGTTGTACACTAAAGTCTCCTTTTGTATCTGTGTCCTGGTACCTTATCCTAAGACAGAAATACCACTAATGATCTCGTATAAGGATAAGTGGTTCTCAAACCAAACACGAGGTACACAGGACATTTGTGTTAGTTGGAATCAAGACGACGGTTCAATATTTCGCTTCAAAATAAACGTTACAATGTTGAACGTTACACATGAATGTGGAGAAGAAATCAACCTGAAGATTGGAACTAATTATAATTATAGGGACAACTACGTAAACTATACAAGGCAGATTAGGTTAAAGGGTGAGATTACAAGCTTAGTGTTCCATTAGATATGTGTGTTAAGGGGGTGGGGATAGCCGTTTTTCTACTTTGATTGAACGAGGGAGGGGTGGTAGATTTGTTGGGGATGGGGTAAAAGGTTATAAAAGTATACGTCTATGGGGGTGGGGGAAGTTATTAAGAAAGTATGAGGTTGCATTGTTGCATTTATTTTGAGATTTAAAATGTACTAAACTTATTATATTTTTGTAATAGATATTTTATTAGTATTTATAAGTTGGGAGTTGACAGATTAGTCGAATGGTAGGGCTTACGCTTGCTTAACACTGCATGTTTGAAAGCGGCGTAAGTTTTCAATTTTACTTGTTTTCTTTCAAAATCTCCATATTAAATTCGTTTAAACTAAAAGCAGAAAAAACAAAATTTAGAGTGAATGATACATTCTTCTAGTAATGTACATATTTATAAATAAAATTTTAAGCGGTTATTCTTAAAAAATGAAACATGCTTATTGATGGGTTATGTGGATTTAATTTCATTAAAAAGTAGCAATGTATTTTATATTATAATCTGGTCTTTCATAGACGTACAGAACAAGTCATTGGAGGACTTATCATACGCTCCGAATATAGAGACTACCACAGGTACAGTGTTGATGAACACGACTTCAGAAGTCCAATTTAACCAACGGAATATTTCAGGTAATGTTTAAGCTGATTAATTAGTTGAAATATAAAGAAAAACACACATTAAATAAACCGGGAGTGATCTCCCCTAAACTTTCTCGAATATTCTAATATAAAACTACGAGGAATGGCAACTCAGGACATAGACAATATTTGTAATCCATTTTTAATTACTTAAACTTAAAAAAAAAAGAATTGCACACCAAGTGAACGCCTAATAAAATGTGCATAATAGTGCGGGATATAATTAGTACGTTATACATATACATGCGTTTTTTGAGAAATCGGAAATAGCGTAAATTAGTACTTTTGGTCAACGGAAATTACTTAAAATTTGACAGAAGGTAGAGAATTAGATCTTTTACTTACATGTGAAATTTCATTTATCTATCTGAAATAGTACTCAAGTTATAGGCTTTTGAAAAATTCAAAGTAGAAAAAATATCACTTCCGGTTATCGGAAATCGCTCAAAAGTTGATACGGATCTACGATTTTGATAAAATACTTATATATGAAATTTCATCAACCTAGCTGTAACCGTACTCAAGTAATCGTGTTTACACACAGACACACAGACACACACACACAGACACACAGACATACGGACGAGATTGCAAAATTAGGTTTTTCCGTATCAGTGAGGTGTGAAACGTCGAGATTTGAAAAAATCTCGATTTTTTTTTGCACGATTACAATACTTTCTCTATACTTCGTATATACGAGAAAGTAAAAATAAAAATTCTAAAATAAACAACTTAAAGTGTTATGCCGATTAATTCTTTAAAAAATAAAGAAAAAAAAACAAACAAGAAAAACTTAAAATTCTAAAATTAACAATATAAATGGGGGAGATATAGTAACTGTAAACATCGAGCTAGTTTTATTTATACATTTAAAAAAAGTTTATTTTGCTTGATAAAAATGTAGTAACGTTGAAATTAAAAACAAATACTTATTTGTTTTAAGGATAAATGTTAGTATGTAATTTATTTTCAGATACGAGGTATTACGGAATATTGACGAGCACAGAACAGACAACAAAAGATAGTCAAAATAGAAACGTCTTGAAATATTGCTTAATTACCGCCTTTTTACTAACAACCGCTCTGGTATTTGGGCTTTTATCACGCTCAAAGAAAAGTGAGTTTTAAATATAAATTACATAGTCACAACAATATGTATTAAATCTATATTTTTTTTTAATTAAGTGAATGTGTTTATCCCAGGGGTCGGCAACCTTTTGAAGCGGAAGAGCCAAAAGTTACAATTTTCAAAATTTCCCTGGTTTTAAAGAGCCACTAAAATTTTTTTTATTTCAAATATTTTATTTTTTTATTAAGATTTTTAGTATTTGTTCAAGGAGCTGGAGAGCCGCATCTTAATATCAAAAGAGCCGCATGCGGCTCGCGAGCCGCAGGTTGCCGACCCCTGGTTTATCCAATCAATACATTGTAGATAAACGGCTTTTCAAAATTTAACTTTCAGTGCGTTTTCTGTGGAAAAGATTAAGGTATGACTTCATCTCATATTTTCTTTTACTAAAGTATAACTACTTTATAATTGCGTAATTTCATTTTTTTAATAGCAGAAGTGTAAATTGTTGAATAAGCACATACATATTCATAACAATAAAGAAATTATAAAATCATATGGTGACCCAAAATAACTTTTTAAAGTGTTCACTAAAAATGTAAAAAAAAATTAGTTTCGATTACAACAAGTCGAGTTGTTGAATTTAATAAAATCCAATACGAAAGTGTATGCTAATCTACTTCCTGCAGACTATCCCTGATATTGGAGGTTCAAAGGTTACTGGAGCGTCTTTCAAGAGGTCAAGTGCAAGGTTAAAAACTGTCCTAATAAGTAGTCGACAATTTCATAACTAAGGGAAAACCCATGGATAGTTTATTAGTTATAAAGAAGCCAATGCTCTAAACAACATATATATATATATATATATATATATATATATATATATATATATATATATATATATATATATATATATATATATATATACATATACATATACATAATTGTATATTTATATATTTGTGAACACATATAAACCCACATACACACACACAAACACACACATATATATATATATATATATATATATATATATATATATATATATATATATATATATATATATATATATATATATATATATATATATATATATATATATATATATATATATATATATATATATATATATATATATATATATATATATATATATATATATATATATATATATATATATATATATATATATATATATATATATATATACACACATATATATATACATATATATATAAGCCTATACTTATATACAGATATATAAAGATGATCGTTCTAAATTGTAAATTTGGCAGCGTTTATTTTCAACCCTAGTGAATATTATTACGTATATTTTTAGTAGAGGTAGAAGAAAAAGAGCCAGAAACAAACATAACTGTAAACGAAACAAGCAATGGTGACACAACAAACGCCACAAATGTAGTAAGTCAAAAATTTTGTTTTATAGTAAAATCTTATTTTTACGGCCACTGTGTGTAGCTAAAACCTTATATCTATACTGTAAATTCTCGTAAACCCATAATAATTCAGGCGTCTAATCGCTAAATTTGATACCTTTATCAGTACTGTAAACTTGCTGTGTTACAGTCAATGAAATCTCCAACCATGAATATAAGTTTTAGTAGTTATGGGATCGCATGGTCTCGAATTAGAATCGGGTTTAAGACAGTAGAACGTCCTTGAGTCCACCCAGCCCTAATGGGTATCTAACTCACGTTAGGAAAACAAACAAGGTAGGGCATAGTGCTGAACACACCATCCCTTCATACACTGAACTCTCTGAAGCAGATGAACTTTGCATTATCTGTCCCATGTGTCTTGGGCACGAACGGGAAAAGATAAAGATTTATGTTAACCTTCTAACTTTACAGGTCGCTGACCGCTACATCTCAGAGGAAGGTCTTGTCTATTTGAAACTGGCTACCGTGACGGAAAGATCCGTAAATAGAAACCGGAACTTGACTAAACAGAGTAGAAACCTGACCACCAGAGACAAGGTGGAGTATGTTGTGTTGAATTTGGAAGGGACCCGAAATTTTGTGAAACATGACATGGATGAGCCGGTGTATATCAATCAGCCATGTGTTTTTACTCAATTATAATGTACTGTGGTATAATTTCTAGTTAGAACAATTTCCAGTATATACTAGTAAATACTAGTATTTCAAGTATAATTTTTAGTTTCTGTTTTAGAACACTTTAACTAAACTAAGCACGCAGTAGAGTTATGAAAGTAGACATAAAACATGATTTCGGTTAGACAGACATTTGTGTTAGAGTTAGTAGTTTGATTAAATTTACGGTTTAAACTAGATTTTTGCTATTGCTGGTGTATAAATATTGCTGTTAAATTTCTTAAAATTTTGTTTATTTGATATGGCTACATGAAATGCAACTACATTAATGTTATATGTTAATTTTTGAAAACTGTTGAGTTTTTAAATTTTTAATGTACAAATTGTGTCAATTAATATTATTCACCAAACCTTCAAACTGGAAAGTTTGGTTGAAGGAAAACGTAAGAAACTTAAAAGACAATACTATGTATCGTTGCTTTATATCACTTTTTCCCCTCACTATTCCTCAATTACTGTTTATTTATCAGCTGATGTTATAATACATGTACCATATGTTTTGTCTAATTAATTAATTTACTTTACCGTATACGGAGTGTACTGGAAGTATTGTAATCTTGCAACAAAAAAAATTGACATTGTACACCTATTACTGTTCCGATTTCTTCCAACCTTTGCACGTAAGCCTGAACTAGAGGACAAGACATATTGACATAATAACTAACATGACACAGTAGACGTCAATCCATTCATCATGGATACAAATCGTTGGTTTTCAGAATTACGCCATCGATGAAGCCGTAAAAAAAAACAACTAAAAAAAACTAAGCCTAAAAATAATTAAGAAATTTAATATTTCTAGAATCAATATTATGAAAGTAGCAAAACCACAGAACTTAAAAATACTGTTTTGAATTTAAGATAGAAGATGTGTATTATTTTATAGCTGATTGCAACGCTAGTCACATCATTGTCATTGTTACTGACATCGTAATTATCATCGTTGTTGTCATCATTGAAATTACGTCGTAAAACAACGCTGCGGGGTGGTTACGCTCTGCTGCGCACAATAAAGTGTACTTATCACTAGACATACAACAAAAAGGTGTTATGTTAATATTCTCTCCGGATCAGTCCCCATCGGTTCTACCTGAGGCAGTGTTACATTTAAATAAGCAATTAGTTTCAGGGAAAATCGTATAAAGAACATACAAAAAAATGAAAAGGCGTCCGTTGATAAAGTGTATTAAAAATTGTGTAATTATGGTTCTGGATTTGATGTAGTCTATGCTAGCAATTATTTCGTAGAAAAAAATGTAAACTGTTTCCTTTTAATTTTTTACAATTGTAATTTTTTTTTTACAAGCTATTATTTAACTAGCTTCCTCTGTCTTTTTGTCGAGATAGATCAAAACCACCAAACCAAATTTTGAGCACTTTTAACTGAACGATTCGTTCTAAACTTGGCACGTGTGACAAGACCCGATGACAATGCAATCTGACCTTACATTTAACATAATTGGATACCTGATTAATTTTTTTAATTATATAAAATGTACTAAATAAAGTAAGATTTGTTTCTATTATTCTGCACTATTTTACGAGCATTTTCATGCTTATTTGGCGCGCAATATTTTTTGTCATGAGACTCAAATATATTTAAAAAAATTAAATTAGTACTTTATGTATGAAACTTTAACTAGTAAAAAAGTAGTTTTGGCGTACAATTAAGTAACATGTGATGTCAGATAGCATTGCCATTGGATCTTGCCAAGTTTCTGAGAAATTGGTCGCATAGAAGTAATCAAAATTTTGCTCGCCATTTTTGTTCCATGACGGACGAAGCACGATAGACAAAAGACACTCAGAAGAAGCAAGTTAAATAAAAGCTACTTTAAAAAGCATACACAATGTTTTATTAACAAGCTTGTATTGAAAAAGATAAAATACAAGATTTTCTTCAATTCTGTAATATTGTACTATTTAAAAGACAAAATGTTTTAATAACAAGCTTTTATATAAAAATGTATTGAAAAGATAAAATACAAGATTTTCTTCATTTCTGTAATATCGTACTACTATTTAAAAGACAAATAGAAAAGCAAGTTAAATAAAAGCTATTTAAAAAAGCATACAAAATGTTTTAATAACAAGCGAGTTTTAAATAAAAATGTATTCAAAAAGATAAAATACAAGATTTTCTTTAATTATGTAATAATGTACTACTATTTAAAAGACATACAGAGAAGCAAGTTAAATAAAAGCTACTTAAAAAAAAGCTTACACGATGTTCAAATAACAAGCTTTTATATAAAAATGTATTGAAAAAGATAAAATACAAGATTTTCTTCAATTCTGTAATATCGTACTACTATTTAAAAGACAAATAGAAAAGCAAGTTAAATAAAATCTACTTAGAAAAGCATACAAACTTCTTTCTTCTTCTTCTTTGTTCTTAATTTTTTAGTGTTGGAAGGAATTCCCCTCCAACACAATTAAGGATACGTGTCAATGATTAAGCGCCATTGAGGCCATTGACTCCGATTACAGCCTGTTTTTCGTTTTAGATTTGCTTCCATAGCTTTTGTACAACCAAGAACATACTACAAGGCAGCAGTTGTTTGATTTTGGAGATGTCTCTCCTAGAAGAGTGGCTGTCCCCAGCTAACGAGCCTCATCTATCCGAGGATTCGAACTCGAGACTTTTCGGTTTAAACAATGTTTTACTAACAAGCTTTTACTTAATATTGTATTGAAAAAGATAAAATACATGATTTTCTTCAATTCTGTAATATTGTACTACTATTTAAAAGACAAATAGATAAGCAAGTTAAATAAAAGCTACTTAAAAAAGCATACACAATGATTTAATAACAGGCTTTTATATAATAATGTATTGAAAAAGATAAAATACATGATTTTCTTAACTTCTGTAATATTGTACTACTATTTAAATAACTAAAACTAAACATCAGAAAATGTTGTGTATAATTATTTATTGATGTGATCGTGTCTAACAATACACATGACTTGTGAATTGTAACAAATATGCAGCTTTACATATTAGTGCTAGCCTATCAGGTTGTTGTTTTTTTACAATCGTTAAAATAAAGTACAAATTAAATTTTTAAAAATTATATAATAATAATTAAAAAGCTTTCATTAACCTCTATATTTGCTACACGAGAATAAACAACATAAATGTCTTCAAATTAATGCTGAAACTCCTAATAATGCTAGAACTGTTTAAATTTCATTTCAATGAATGACGGATTAGTCAGGGTTGCAAAGTATAAATCTACAGTACCCCAAAGGCCGTTAAGATCTGAATACCAGCAATCGTTATACCACCACGCTCCTCTGTGGGAAGCTGCGCAGTTACCCGGAGATTTGTCATTATCGATGTCAAAGGTTGAAAACTTCATACCGTTGTGGTAGCCTAGACCATCCCCTGCATTGCCGGTATAGCCGCCAACTTGTAGCTTGTAGCCGTCTGCCTCGTTAGAAATACTGAAGCTGGAATACTTGGCGAAATAATTGTGTCCATTGAAGGTCATATCCACTCTCAGTACTGTCTGACGGTTTGACGTTAAGAGATAAATGTTTTCGTTGCCCAGGTAAAAATTACCTGAACTAAAATCGCCAAACCCATATTTGTACTCTGCCCAGTTACGGTAAAAGTCGACAGTACCAGAAACACGTCTTTGGAAAATGGTCCATCCTCCGCCGTCTGTAACTGTGTCACACATGACCTGAAGTCCAGAGGTCAGGGTCACCAAAGGTCGGGGGTTACTGCTGTCGACTCCTACGCATATATCGTGCTGGCCTGATAAGTTAAAAAAATAATATGTTGTCATTTTTACTTTCTCGTATATAGGCCTACAGAGTTATAGAGAAAGTATTGTTATCGTGCAAAAAAAAATCGAGATTTTTGCAAATCTTGACGTTTTACACCTCCCTGAGCAAAATATCTAATTCTCTGCCTTTTATCAAATTTTGAGTAACTTCCGTTGAGCGGAAGTGTTAATTTAGGCGATTTCCGATTTCTCAAAAAACGCATGTAAATTTATAAAGTACTAATAATATTCGGCACTAAAATACACATTTTATTTGGCGTTCACTAAGTGTGCACATCTTTTTTCTACGAAATTCTATTCAATTTTTAAAAGTTTAAGTAATTAAAATGGATTTAAAATATTGTGTCTAAATCTTGAGTTGCCATTTCCCGCCGTGTTATATAAGAATATTCAAGAAAGTTTAGGGGAGATCACTCCCGGTTTATTTATCCATAGGTTTTAAACCACGTTGTTTCATGGAGAGAAAGGGCTGAAACGTTGGTCAAAATACAACCACAAAATAGACAATAAAATGTGCATACAGAGAGTATGTATTTGTAGCATGGTAGGTGAGCTAAGCAAAACACACGTTGTTTGTCAGATGGTGCCACATTACTAGCTTTAGACAACGACAAAGCACATGCTACCAAAAGCATGATACATCTTATACAAATTGTTGCAATCCATAAGAAATACTATTACAAGATAACTTCACATCACCTGTGCAAAACAAGAAGTCGATATAAGAGATAGAACCATTAGATAGGACCGTGATATCTCGTGTTGTATTACAGATCTTCCCACTAGAGAAAATTTTCCCCTGAACTTTTTGTTGTAAAGATTTCAGTGGGACTAGCCAGGAACCTGTTTCCAAAATCAAAAGATGAATATATATATATATATATATATATATATATATATATATATATATATATATATATATATATATATATATATATATATATATATATATATATATATATATATATATATATATATATAATAGTAAAAATATTCTTATGTAGGCAAGTATTACGTTTATTGAACACTAAACCTTACCTACGATTTAAAAATAATGTATTAAATAATTTAAAAACATATTCCATACGCGACCAATTCATTTACAAAAGATGTTTTTCTATTTCTTGTTTAATGTGTTTTTCAAAAGCTCATTATTATAAATTTAAATTTTATTCGTTTTATTACTTATTTAATTTTTAATCATACACGATTGCTTACAAGAGCAACAATAGCTGGATTTGGTTGACCTGATGGTCATTGACATGGGATAATGCACCACTCCATATCTGTAGCATAACGATAGGAAACTATAAAAAGTAACGTTATGTTCTATACTTTGGATAACAGTCTCTTCTCAGAACAAGAAACCATGAAATCGCAAGGTACCTCCCGCATAGCACCCACACACTATGTTTCTCTTTACACACATCGCCGACACTGTTTCATATGTGAGAAATTTTTTTTTCTAATGGGCTTTTTGGTTAGGGTTAGGGTTAAGGTAAAGGTAAAGGTAAAGGTTAGGGTTAGGGTTAGTGTTAGGCTTAAACTTAGGCTTAGGCTTAGGTTTTTGGTTAGGGTTAGGGTTAGGGTTAGGGTTAAGGTAAAGGTAAAGGTAAAGGTTAGGGTTAGGGTTAGTGTTAGGCTTAAACTTAGGCTTAGGCTTAGGTTTGTGGTTAGGAATAATTTTATAATAAAGAAAGCGTTTGGACTCACCCAAGCTACAGTGTCTGGTGATTTTGTCGTAGATGTAGCTGAGGCACGTTTTGTTGGAACTTGAACAACGTGAGGCACAGGACAAAAGGCTGACTCGGTCAAACTCTAGTTTGATCGGCAGGGTGGTCAGCTTTGTTTCATCAACAGCTGTATACTGGGTTTGTTTTATCAAGTTATTTGACTGGACTTAAGATAGAAATATTACGAAATAAACCAATCATATCTCACCTGTGGTAAAACACTAGGCTATTCTAACTCGTATAACTACATGTTATGATGAGCTCTATAATGATGCACTGCGATATTTTATCAATTATAACTAAATATCATGATGATAAACTGAGCCCTATAATAATACACTGAGATAATATATTAATTATAACTGCATCTTATTATGATAAACTGAGCTCCATTATGACACACTTAGGTATTGTATATTGATACACTGAGATATTATATCAATTATAGCTACATATTACAATTATAACAGTGAAATGTTGGTGGATTGTATGTTGGGAGTGTGTGTGTTGAGGGAGGCGAGATTGCATCAGAGAGAGAAGGACTGGGCGCATGCGCGAAAGGAACAAGGGGGGAGAGGCAAGAAGATGGCGTAGCTTGAGTGAACACGCTGCCTGTGTGAAAACGAAATAAATATGAAAATTGCAAAAGAATGCTTGTCTTTTGATTTTGTATGTGTAATATATAGGTAGGAGAAAGGCCTGTGACAATAATGAAACAATGAGTTTCTATAACAAGTATAACTAACCTTCCAGGATCATACTTTGAACTAAAATAACAATTAGTGTCCACATGTTGGTGCAGTAGGTCTACGATCAACAAAATGATGTATTCAGTTGTTTATCACAATTCACAATTCGTCCCTGCATATAACAAAAGTTTAAATGTGTATATAAAACTTAACATAGTTATAGCGCATAACCAGTTGACACGTATCCTTAATTATGTTGGAGGCGTGGTCGAGTCGGCAAAAAGCTTATGGTTGATAAATTCGAACAAAGTCTCGACTTCAAACTCACTGGCAGATAAATCTCGATCCCTTCAACACTAATAATTAAGAACGAAGAAGATGGTTATAGTGAATTAATAAACTACAGGTAACATTTTTTTTTTACCTGAACTACTTTACTAGCCTTTGCTGTATCTGGGTCAGGTGTCGTTTGCTGGGTTATTTTATAAGGCCAACACCCACAATATTGCAGTGAAATCTAGCTTTATAATATGGGAGTCAGTATGGAACAACGTTACCCCACGGGAAAAAGTGAAGCCACGGTACTTAAACAACGGAAGTAAAAGCGTGTCGAGACTAGAGATAGTAAAAAAAAACGTCACGCCATGTGAATTATTAACGCGTTTTGTAATTGTTGTTTATGTTTAATTGACGAGGCAAGAATTTTAGTCACAGCAGGGGCTGGGGATAACAGAGATCACAGAGTAAAAATGAAACATTTTAAACTGCAACGTGTGTCATTCATTATTAACAACAAACTATATTGAAAGAAACTGATAATGGTACTAAATAAAAGAGGTTTATGTTAGCCAAGCTAATGTTTTTGTATAATGTTCATAATTATCTTAATTACTTTTTTCTTATTAGGTTTTCTTAGATTATAGTCGTGTTGTTTTACAATATTCAGGAACATTGTAGCATAATCATAGTTTAATTTATTATTCAATATTCTAGTTTTACGGCAAGCTCTCCGTATAGATTCTTGTCTTTTCTTGTGTCAATTATTCGTTTATAAAATGGTAGGCTATATGTCGGTAATTACTCTATTACATAACATACACATTTTATGAGACCCCAGCTAAGGAAAACAATAGGACAACACAAAACAAGAGCACAAAAAGACCACAACAAGAGAATATATCATCATAGCACATAATATGACCACAACATGAGACCACAACATGAGACCACAACATGAGACCACAACATGAGACACAACATGGGACCACAACATGAGACCACAACATGAGACCACAACATGAGACCACAACATCAGACCACAACATCAGACCACAACATCAGACCACAACATCAGACCACAACATCAAACCACAACATGAGACCACAACATGAGACACAACATGGGACCACAACATGAGACAACAACATCAGACCACAACATCAGACCACAACGTGAGACCACAACATCAGACCACAACATCAGACCACAACATCAGACCACAACATCAGACCACAACATCAGACCACAACATCAGACCACAACATCAGACCACAATATCAGACCACAACATCAGACCACAACATCAGACCACATCATGAGACCACAACATCAGACCAAAACATCAGACCACACCATGAGACCACAACATTAGACCACAACATGAAACCACACTATAAGACCACAACATGAGACCACAACATGAGACCACAACATCAGACCACAACATCAGACCACAACATCAGACCACAACATGAGACCACAACATCAGACCACACCATGAGACCACAACATTAGACCACAACATGAAACCACACTATAAGACCACAACATCAGACCACAACATGAGACCACAACATCAGACCACAACATCAGACCACAACATCAGACCACAACATGAGACCACAACATCAGACCACAACATGAAACCACAAACATGAGACCACAACATGAAACCACAAACATGAGACCACAACATGAGACCACAACATCAGACCACAACATCAGACCACAACATGAGACCGGTGATAAAACAACAGCATGACATCACAAAAAAAAAAATACTTTAAAACACATCACAGTTTGACCCGTAACAAGACAACACAAAATATCGATTAAACTTTCTTTTTATATGCCCGATTGCATTATTTATGTAAACAAATTCCTTCCAGTAATTGGTTTTGCTTTACGATCATAACGAGTACGATAAAATCAGTCTTTAAAATTATGAATATCTTTAGAGATTATCTTTATTAGGTCATGACACTTCTGATTGCAACCAGAAATGTAAATCTTCTTGTTGTGACTATAAGAGACAGTGGTTTATTTTTTGTCTGGTCGATATTGTTTCTCTAGGGTTCAAGATATTTTAAAGTTTGCATGCCACATTTAGGAGGAAAGCTAGGCAGGAGCCTATGGGTGTGCAAATAAGAAGGAGGAAGTGGCGCTGGGTGGGTCACACATTGCGAAAGGCTCACCCAAATGTTACACGCCAAGCGCTTGAGTGGAACCCCCAGGGAAAGCGGAAAAGAGGGCACCCAAGAGAGAACTGGAGGCGGAGTCTTCTTGAAGAACTGAAGCCAATAGGGATGTCTTGGGAGATGTCAAAATTAATAGCAGTGGATAGGAAGAAATGGAAGGAAATGGTGGAGGCCCTATGCTCTTTAAGAAGCAAAGAGGACTAAGTAATTAATGCCACATTTATACGTAATATAAACTTGATTACACGATCATAGATATAAATATGTAACCTATATATTTATTATATCACCTAGCTTACACAATCAAATATTTTTATTATTAAACTTTGCTTACACGATCACTTATATTCATTATAAAATCTTGCTGGCATGATTACAGATATCCATTACATAACCTTGAAAATATGATTAGACTAGAGCTAAGAGGCGATTCCTAAAACTCAACACTGAAAGTCTGACAGACTGACAAAGAATAGACATGATGTTATAACTATAGTCAGTGGCGTAGCGAGGTCGGGTGCCACCCCCCAGAGGCGTAGTGACCCTTCCCGGGGACAAACTTTCAAATTTTCGATTTGCACCCCCTCCAAACTTTCGATTTGCACCCCCCCCCCCCCCCCGTCAAACTTACGATTTGCACCCCCCTCAAATTTCAAGTTTTTCTCTATATATTTTACCTTGGTGTCACCCCCTTAAATGGTGTCACACGGTGCGGTCCGCACCCACCGCCCCCCCCCCCTCGCTACGCCTCTGACTATAGTATACATCGTGTGGACCTCAGAATGTTTGTAGTAAGTTGAGACGAAAATTAGTGAGTTAAGTCAGATCTGAGTGACAAGACAAATGTGTGAGCTAACTTTAAATTCATTCAATAGATAAATTGAAAAATATATACTAAACTAAACCAACTTTTCTATACAAAATATTTCACGAATTAGCACCTTATTACTTATCAGACCTTATACTATGTCCTTAAACCAGAATATGAAATCGTCGCCTTAGTTTTCTATCCGTATACAACCCTTCACCTATTCTGGTGCTAATTAGTAGACCAATGTTCTTAATAGAAAGATTTATTGCAGCATTCCTCATTCATCTATTTTATTCTCATTCTGTTCCATTATGTTTTATAACTATTCAAATATTATTGCTTTATTCCAAATTTTAAAATGCTATTATACTAGTACGTCTTTAATATTTAATTGCGGTTTTGTTAAAATGTTTTATTAATATATATATATATATATATATATATATATATATATATATATATATATATATATATGTAGATTGTCTCACTAAATTTTAAATTAAACCATTTAGCCTATTTTATTGCAAAGTATATCCACCATAAGACAAGAAACAACACAGAAATAAGCTGAAACTTGTTTCAGGTCTAAAATAATATAGTTTTAAACTGTCTCTTTGATGCGAGCCGAACATTTTTGAATAAAGTCATGAATGTGGTTTAAAGGTTTGCCTATTTTTCATACTACAACTTATGTAGTATTTTTTTTCTTTACTCAACGGTGTGTATTAGTTACTGTAGAGCAATCGCTGCTGTAGTCTATTTGTTTTATGTTTTTACAAAACCACTAGTTTATCAAAGTGCAAAAAATGCATTTTTTTAAATCCATTGGTATAGTAGTTTCTCCGCTGTAATTAATTTTAATTTTGAAAAACTGAGCTCTCAACTAGCCACGGACACTGGAAGTGTTAAAGTATTCTCAAGGAAATAACATTTGGCACATTATCTTCCAATTTTTGTTGTACTATATATAGAGAGAAACACATCTGATGGTGACATATGCTTAGGAAGCTACGACTTGAAGCTCATTGCAAAGATCATCATCATCAATATCTTTATTAGCGTTATGCATAAACCCCGTTACTAAATGTTTGCAGTCATTAAGTAAATCCGCAGGTGTCTTTTTGTTGCTATTGGATAAAACATAAAGATAGCCAAACAGAATATTATGTTGTTGTAATCTTTGGAACCATTCTTCCAAAGACTGTATACTCATATCCAAGAAAGATTAGTAGAATTCTAATTTGAAACTCTGTTTAGGATCATATACTGCCAACAGGTGAAACGACACAAAAGATGATTAAAGTAGCGATGGCCTTTGGCGAAATAATGTTGTGTGCTATAACATTAACACAGCATGTAAAGTTGTGACATTAACACAGCATGTAAAGTTGTGACATTAACACAGCATGTAAAGTTGTGACATTAACACAGCATGTAAAGTTGTGACATTAACACAGCACATATAGTTGTGACATTAACACAGCATGTAAAGTTGTGACATTAACACAGCATGTAAAGTTGTGACATTAACACAGCACATATAGTTGTGACATTAACACAGCATGTAAAGTTGTGACATTAACACAGCATGTAAAGTTGTGACATTAACACAGCATGTAAAGTTGTGACATTAACACAGCATGTAAAGTTGTGACATTAACACAGCATGTAAAGTTGTGACATTAACACAGCATGTAAAGTTGTGACATTAACACAGCATGTAAAGTTGTGACATTAACACAGCATGTAAAGTTGTGACATTAACACAGCATGTAAAGTTGTGACATTAACACAGCATGTAAAGTTGTGACATT